GTGCGCAAGGTAACTTTATACTGGATAATTTAAAGAAGTTTATAATTGATAAGGCTGATATTTAATTATACGATTTTAATGATTTTAGAAAATTAGCATTTCTTTAAGAAAAAGAGAGAGAGGAAAAAAAATACGAATTGCCCGTTTTTAGCCACGGATTAGCCTGAAATGGAAATGCACATGATAAAAATGATATAAATTAACAAAGACGGTTTTAGTAAATTTATTTATAATAACATACAATTAAGTCAAAGATTTTAAATAGCATTTAATTACCTTAGTTGGGTATCCATTTTTTTTATCAAATTTTGAAAGAGTTTAATTATTTGTTTTTTAGATAAATAAGCAGTACTTCATATTCTTTTATTTCTATTCATTTGATTAAAATTGGTATCTAAAAAGATGTATTAAGAAACATTAGAATTCCAAGTAATTACTTTATTTATACTAAAATTAAAACCATTTCTTTTATCGTATAAATCTACAAAGCAGATATTTTCTTCTTTTATAATACCCAAATCCAAGAAAAAAAAATTAATATTATCATCATGATTACGAAGCAAGATTAATTCCTCGGGGAAAACATTATTTAATAAAATTGTATTATCTTGAAAATTATAGATAATTAAATCATCAATAAATCTCAAGACAAATTTAATATTAAGAGTATAATTTTTTTCACAATGATGCAAAAAATAAGTTAGCTAAGAGAGACAAAAAATTAGATCCTTATCGTATTCCATCAATTTGAAGAAAAAATATTTTTCATTCTAAAGATAATTATTAAAAAGACAAAAATTAATTAGAATTTCCCAATAATAAAAATCGCAATTAAGGATATTTTTAAAATCATAGTAATAACTCAAAAGGAAATATTTTAGTTTTGAAATATTTTAGTTTATGTTATTAAAAAGATCCTGGAAATCAAAAGTCGCAATAGAATTAATTTCATTATGTTCAATAAATTCTAAAATCGGTTGATTGCTAGTAATAATCCAAGAAAAACCTTCCTTAATAATTATTAAGTAGTTGGAGCAAATGGTGCCAGGTTTAATTGGGTGAATATTAGTACTATTTTTTTATTGTGTTATTTTATTTTATTTTAATATTTTTCTTTGTCATTTTTTATTATTTTGTAATTTTTTCCATGTTTTCTCTAAATATTGAACTTATTTTATGAGTTCTATATACTTGCAGCTAATGCGCAGTAAATAAAACTTATT